AATGTAATATGATAGGATCAAACATTACATTCCAAGAGGATACTACCAACCATGCTCGAAAATGAACAAGAGGATCTAAAAATTAATGAAAGTATGTAAATTATTTTCAGACAATATTGATTCGCACAAACAAAATCTGAAAATTTACAATCATTAAAAGTGTAAAAATGCCTTCGGTGATGCAAGTCACAAAAACACTAAAAATCATTGTTTTATCCTTCAAAAACTTGAAAAGGTATAACATCGATTAATAACGAAATAAGCAATTTACGAAAACAGTTAGAATAGTCCTCCACGGCAGCATAGGACTCTGCAGGAAATTTAATCCTTTTCTCATTATGAGCGTATTTTATAGCTTCCAAACTTTCATCACTAAAATATTTGAACTCATTTTTCTTCTACTTTCTAACGTATAGTGTGTAGGATAGGGCATGGCTCAGGTTCCTTCTACAGCGTATTTTATGACACTGAAAACTTTGGAAAAGTAAAAGATACGTAGATCTACATCAATCCAAGCTAAGAAAGAGATATTTCGACAAATTAATCAATCATCCTACTCATGTGGGCTTGAGAAATAATAATATCCATTGCATCACTAATGTCACCGGTTCATTAGAACAGTTAATCATGCGTACCTATATCGTTCAACGCTCAGATTTTTACCGTAGTTGAATAGAAAGACAATATTGGAGTGATACAATAGGGATTATACATTTGATTAAATACGGCCTTATTTTTCCCGAACCATGTAATATTTAATCTGTTGATAGAATTTTCTATTGTTTAAAAAATGCCTAAGGAACAACCGCTTTCGAAAAAATTTATTAAGAAACATGGAAAAAGTAAAGACGAAAGGTCTAAATTGCTGTGAACGGGGAAATAAGAAGCCCAGACAACTACGAAAGCTATTTTCTTGGGACGTTATTTCATTTCATTCAAACCTTGTAAAACACTTATATTTATTTTTGTCCCTATTTTATTCTACATAACATGAGCTTTCGTTCTATGTAACATTTACTGCCGTACACATTTTTGTTCCGAAAATATCGTAATTTAAACATAATATTTTGTATCTTATCTTTTACCCTATTTCCCAGTTTCGGGCATAATTGTATTTTTCCAAATTATCGTATGTTGTGGTCAGGATATTCACTTATTTATTTATGTACATTTTCGCACTAATCCGAATTCAGAGAATTCAGAACTCAGAGTGTTCCAACTGTCTTGTCTTCTCTCACTTGAGTGCTTGCCAACCAATCGGGTTCTAGAGTAGTTCTCTCTCTACCCCATCTCGAACTCACGTGTACTAGGCTCAAGGTTAAGCCGCTCAGCCTATCGCGCCAAGGTCATAATCTAGACTAGACAGATCAAGGTAAATTCATAGCAAAGTATCAACGGGGTAAAAGCGATTCAAGGTCATAACATAAAGAAACCACAGAAGATAAAAAATTCCATTTCCATTCAACCTAGATTCGAAGTTTACGATGTTGAAGCGATGGAAAACAGAAGATTTAAAACCACACTAACCAGAACGCATCGTGTAGCCAGGCTGATTATCGTGGATAAAAGAATAAGATTTTTTGCTCCAATCAAAAAACTGAGAAATATTCCTTTTCATGTTACCACCAGTTGCACTTACATTTGTCTACCAAACCAGTTAATTTGCTAGAACTGAAAGAACAGCTTATGTTTGATACCTGGGACATATCCAAACAGGCATCAGGTCAATAGGATTAAATGCTTTAAACTGTGCTATTGAAAAAGGATCTCCGCAAAGTAGAGTATTAAGTTTATACACTTAAACTCTTTTGATACCATCAATCGATAGTCAAGTTCACCGAAGCTATAATCATCAACCGCCTTTGGCCTGACTTTTGTATCCAAAAAGAAACAGTTACAAATCTTTTATACGAATATTCGTCAAGATCTTTCTTCACCAAATTGTATTTATTGTCAGTTTATTAAATCACTTTTGAAATTTTTTCTCTGTTATTCTGTTGTGTCACTGGATGTAAATCCATAATTTTACTTTCAACTTATTGCTTGTGCCATTTGTACTAAATGATGATTCATTTTTACTTGATTATACGCTTATCACGAATTCTAAATATAATACGTCCAGTTGTGCTCATCTAGTTCTACCCATGGTAATAACTTCATTTTTTCTCAAAACAGTGGAAAGATTATTGCTACTTTTACTTCACCCAGCACTAAAAAACAAATTGATATATATCAGTTTGATTACAGACGCCCCACCATTGATGCTACCTTGACGTGATGTTTGTGCTTGACTATCGTGATGGACCAATCGAGCTATACTGGTTGGAACACTCGTCCTTCAAGTCCCGCCATGCCAGACAGGTTGACGGAAGAACGGTCAGAGTAAAAGCAGCAGACCCAAGGTCCAAAGGTGAAGTCGTACTGCTGGCTGCGCAGAGGTGTTATCACAGGAGGGTGTTTCCTCCAGCCAACCAGCATAACAGCGGTGTTGCCTTCCCACAAAGAAGGGGATACGAAAAGTCTATCATAAAACCGCACACCTCGCCTTATCCCACGGATATCCGTCTCCGTCGGTTAGGCCCAAACTTACTCACCTACTTACTTACGCCTGTTGTCCCTCATGGGAGAGCATTGGCCACCCACCAGCATAACACATACTAAGTTAATACGAAAATTACCCACAAAAGGTCGTGTGCGACCGACCCCAAGCAGTTGTCCCTTGGGTACCTCGATCACGCTCTCAGATCACTAAAACCATCTCTAATCCGAATCCTTTTCTAGTACCTCCAGAAGAACCCTTTCACGATATGGGGAACCGGGAAGTGATAACTACCCTCATACCTCTAGCAGCAATCAAGACCGCTGTATTCATAATCAATCTCCCTCTTCAATTCCTATTATTCCTCCCACCTCGACTTTCAATTCTTAACTTCCTCTTTTAACTTCCTTCTTAAGTGCCATCATGACCAACGATTCTAATGCACGAAAAGACTTCCCATGTCTACTGACATCTCGCTCCAAACTACACATTGGAGCCTTCAACGCATGTACCCTATATCAAATCAACTAATGGTCCTCCTTGGTTAAAACCCTAGAATCTCATACCACTGATGTATGCTGTGTCTCCAAAACACATACAGGATCCTAGTGCGGTCGTTCACTTTACCTGATCTTGCCAAAACGGTGAGCCGAGGAGATAAACCCTTCGTGTATCTGGCGCCTCGATGGCTAGTTCTCGTGGACTGGCAGGTGTAGGCATAGCACTATGTACGAGGGCAGAACAAGTACTATTAAAATGGATCCCCGTTAACAGTCGTCTATGTGCTGTTTGCTAAACGGCTCTGTAAGAACTCGGAAGGATAGGGACACACGTCATTGCCTTTTCATCTTTTCTGCCTACGCTCCCATTGACTGCTAACCGGATGATGTGAAAGATGACTTTTACAGAAAGCTCTATGAATTTCTTCAGAAAGCTAAACGTTCAGACACAGTACTCGTAGGAGGTGACTTTGATGCTCAGATAAGTAGCTTAAACCAAACCGAAAGACATTTAGTTGGGTCTCGTAATATTCCGGCTCAGCAAACAGATAATAGTGATCGTCTGTTGCAATTGTTCTCAGGCAATCTTTTATTTTTAACAGGCATTAACTTTAAGCATAAGAGGAGACATCGTCTAACCAAAATTTATTCGAATAGGCCAGACTACGTTCTTCTGTATAGCGTGCGAAGCGTTTTTGAGTTACTCGTATTACATTATATCAAAACACATACTCTGTGCTAAATTTAAACGGTTCTAATTTAGGAAATAGAACAAATTATATCAAAAATACAAAATACCTCAAACCGTACAACCTGTGCTATACAGTCAAAAGTTACTCTAACGCAAAGTTTAAAATACAGGACAGGGAGAAGAAATAAATAAATGACAGTACTGTCCAACAAAAAAGGTGTGGAGGGATTTTCGTCGTTCCCTTTCCGTTACAGAGAGAATCTCGGAAAAAGACTACACTCATATCTGTTCACAGTCCGGGTGTTCAGAACGATGGGCGGAACACTTTAGATAACAGTTTAGCTGGCCTTCAGCTACTCTTCAACTACTCGCCATTCTCAGATAGTGTGAATGGAACATTGACGTAGGTCTCTTGACTCGAGATGAAGTTCAAAAGGCTATAACTAATTTGAAACGAGGAAGAGCAGCTGATTCAGATGCGGTGGGTCCATATGTCTTTATGGATGGTGATCTAGTATTAGCGATTAGGTTGACTAATATTTTAGTTAAAATCTGGAAGTTGGTTGTAATCCCATTTAACTGGTCGCAATCATTGATTGTCCAAATATATAAGAAGGGGTCAAAATTATCCTGTGACAGTCATAGAGGGACTAGTTTGACTAATATAGTATCTGAAATACTAGCCTCAATAATTATCGGGAACCTAACAAAGACTCGTGAACTGCAAACAGGGGGAAATCAGGCTGGTTTCACATGTGGTCGTGGCTTCGCACATGTACTAGAAAAGTGGTTGGTCAGAGGTTGTTGAGAAAACAAATCAGGGATCAAAGCATGTGCTGTTATATCACTGAATTCCACTGGAGATATTGACAAGAAAGTAAGCCGTATTTGTGAGACAATTAAACAATACCTTGGAATAATAGATTCTCGTCGCTGGCCCTGAGAACAAGATGACTGACCGACAGGTGCGTGGGAAAGCTGCGTGTAACCTGGGGCAGCATAGTTCTCACTGGCTAATACCTTCATTTCATCAACAGATCGAACAGTTGACGGTAACTCACTGACCAGTTCAAATAACGGAAATGTCATCAAAGGCCGACTACAAAGTTTAGGAAGATAGAGTAGTCAACGAAAATCATACTCTTATTTATATGGTTTCGAAACTAGATTCATGTTATGCCATGTATTTGACCTGAATCAGTTTTGTACAATTACCGACCCGGTTTATAACGTGTAAATTCAAGAACTAAATATGACACCATGTTTAACCCGGATTCTCTTAGATTTGCGACGTGTTGAACGGTTCTACTTTAAATCCTCGTTGGCACGCAATCGTGAGTCGATACGGAAGTCCGGCAAGCGAACATTTATTCTAGTCCGTCCAAACCTAATTCTATTTGTTTAAATACCTCAAGTCTATGACTAAGACTTGGATCCAATTTGTATGCTGTCGCTATGTCAGATGTTTTCTTGTACATTTATGATCTTTCAAGTGGCCTAGCTAGTGTTTTTAGTCCTGGTCTCTTGGGTATGCTAGATGGTTTCTTAATACTACTCCGAATTAAGGCAAGAAAATTGATGGGATATGGCATACTGCTTCTGTTTTGTATGATAAGGAATTTTTCTTTGGACAATCAGGAATTCAGTATTGTGAGCCAGTGAGTTTTAACCTAGATCGTGTTTATGTTCATTCAGTGAATTTAACAAGTCCTTTAAAGAAATAGCATTACATACTGTAATTCATCTACAAATTACAATATTGATATCTACGAAAATAATCAAGAATAATGTGCGTAACTTCGAGCGTGTTGATTAAAATCGTCTGTTCACTAGTTACGTACTTTGATAGTCCAATTCTAGCTTTACAAAAACTTCAGAAAAGGCCGGTTGGTTGTATGCGTTCACTATTAATATCTGGGATCTGTCTAACAATTGACATCCTTATCCAATACATGTAAGGGAGTAGAGTAATCAAGAGATGGGTTTTAATTGACGTTTATTCACCAGGAAATACATCCAGTCTCATTATTTCGCGAGGTAGTTTTATCCTACCACAATAACTACCTGTAAACAGTTAATTTGTTATCCAATCATAACTAAAAGTACTCTAAATTGGTCGTTTGTATTTGTTTAATTCATTTCCTGTTTCTCAATATGATTGATGTGTAATAATTTTCCGTCCTCCAGTGTTCTGGTTTTTGTGCTTCTGTTGGTTATATACATCCTTGCTCTTGTAGTACAATAAATCAATCCACAAAATTTCGTGTCTAATTTTCATTATTGATACTTCGCTCGTTCAACATCCTTTTTGGTTTTAAGTTAGTTTTCCACTACTCATGTGAAGTTGGTCTTGTGTACTGCAAATCTACTGACCATCCATGTGCATACTGTATAAAAGGAATGGTTTTTTAAAGATTCGACTTCAGAAACATGTAGTGGTCAGTATATTATTAAACTGCGGCCTCTGCATCTACTTGATTCGTACAAAAACTAATAACAGGGCGTTTTTTTCTTCTCAGATGTAATTTCTAATCGCTTCCGGCGAATCAAAAAAGTGCCATCTCCGGACCCGCTACTATGTAATGTTATATCCAATAAAATTGTACTTGTCTATTTGACGTATCTAATCAAAATGTTATTCACTACATGTTGGCTTTTTCCGATGTTTCGTATGAAGTGATTTTTATTCAATTTTGCATTTCCAGTCTTGAGGTTTTAGGGATCTTGTATCTAAGACAGTTATTTTAACGTTAGTTGTTTGTCCGAAGAAGTTGCTGAGGTGCTGAAAAATATATAAAACCCTTTAGAATGTTTTTTCTATTTAATAAGACCTAGGAGTCAGTGGTTCATGTGTTTGACTTCTAGTCACTAAGTGTCGGGTTGGAGCCCTGCCTCACCTTTATCTTCAAAATCTCGTTTTCTATTTTTTTTGTATTCTCTTCACTCAAGTTCATGTTCATCCTGATCTTCGTTTCCACAAACTCTGTTTTTGTATCGTTCCAAAGGATGGAAGGTTGGAATGATACATTTTGAAATTCTACATTGATATATTTCTCTTACAGGTATATTTGTGCATTATGAGATATTGTTTACCGTTCACTTGTATGAAAATAAATAATTTGTTTCAGGTAACATTCAATAATAAATTTGACCAACGGTAAAACCCATGAACATCTCATCCGTCGGTATACAACCTTATAACTGTCAAACTTTCACATTACGCTGACCACATCCTAGCGAAACAACAATCATTTTTGGGAGAGATGTGTGGTGACTCCCAAACATTTTATTCCGTCAACTCACTTGTGTATCACTTGCTTTTATTGCCGTGATCAGGTGAAACTGATTCTGTTGCCTATAGCACCAACGTCTCAATCAACTGTATTTGTGTATCCATGTCTGTTGTCAAAGCAATAAATTTAGCTAGTTTGTGTTTTTTCACTCTGTTAATGCACTTCCATCAGTGGGCGTGAATTAAATTAGTTGTAAACAAAAATAATTTTAATTAAAAAGACAATCTCCCTAGCTGGTTGGAAAGAACTAAATCACCAATAATTTTATAAAATTTGAGTGGTAAAGTTTGAGGATTTAGAAAAACCATTCATCAACACTGATTAGTTGGGATGGGACCGATCATCATGTTCAGCTTATTTTTGGTTTTAACTTACAGAAGTAATTCATTATAAGTTGAACCTACTAACGTATATTTCTACTCGCGTAATTCACTTTGAATATGTTTTCTCGATAACGACACCATCGCTTTTTTCTGTCACCTCACTTTTCTCAATTTTTCTCCAAGTGCTCAACCTCTTTAGGAAATCCATTAAAAAAGCAATTCATGGGGAAGACACCATTGTCAGAATCTGAAATTTTCAATTATTTAGAGCGACTATCCAATACATTGTTCAAGTAAGTCACGTGGTCAATTATGAAAACACTTGTAATTTGATTATTTGGTTCCCATGTATGTTATTCATCAGTATCCTGCATAACTTTGCCTGTAGCTCTTCTAGGGCTACTGCCGGTCTCAATCCCACATAAAGGAGGAGGGTTGGGTATGGGGTCGGCAACCCCATTTCGTAGAAAACAACCTTGCGAAAAAACACTAACCAGAATAAACCATTTAAACTCTGTCTTGGGAGTTGAAGGGAGAATTATTACACCTCATAATAAAATCCGAGATTCGTCGGAAGTCACGAGGCTGATGCCCCCTCTAACAACCAGAGCAACAAGTTTTATAGGTGCATAAAACGTCTGGACAATGTGGGAGACCAGAAGGACCAGTCAAATAGCTGAAGAAATGAAAAGATACAACTTGGCGGTTCTTGCTATTAGGAAAACCAATTGGAACCAAGCTGGATAGAGAAAAACTAGATTCAGGAGAGGTGGTGTTGTATTGTGGTCATTAAGAAAAAAACACTTCGATCACAAGGAGTCACGCTAGTGCTGTCTTAAGAAGCACATAATGCACTTATAGGATGGGAATCTCATCGATCCAGAATCGCCGAAGCATCCTTCAAAACAAAGAAGGGGGGAATTACAGTGAATATTATCCAATGTTATTCACCCACCAATGGTAGCAGTAACGACGATGAAGGTCAGCTATACGAGAATCTGCAATGGATCATAGCGAAATGTCTAAGAAACAACTTGACAGCCCTGATGGGATAGCTAAACTCCAAAGTCGGAACGAACAACAACGTTTATGAAGATATCATGGAACGACATGAACTAGGAGAGAGAAACGAGAATGGCTAGAGATTTGCAAATCTATGTGCATTCAACAAACTGGTTATAGGCGGTACAATATTCCTACACAAATACATACATAAAGCTACATGGATCTCACTGGACCACACCACAAAGAACTAGATAGATCGAATTTGCATAGGTAAAAAAATCAGAAGGTAAGTGGTAAACGTGAGAACCAGGAAAGGAGCTGACATAGTTTTTGATCACCAACAACTGGTTGTGGCCAAGATAAAACTGGAACTAGAGAAGTATTGGGCAACTGAACAAACAGGATTACAAAGGTTCAATACAGCCTTCATTCGGCATACTGGTAAACTCAACGAATTCAAGGTAACTCTCGACAACAGGTTCCAAGCCTTACAGGATCTACTCAGCGAAGAGGAATCTACTATGGAGGACAACTGGAAAGGTACGAAAGAAGCACTAACTTCATAATGTCAGAAGGTTCTGGGTTGCAATAAGCATCATCATAATCAATGGATATCTGTCGGAACCCTGGACAAGATTGAAGAAAAGAAGAACAAGAAGACAGCAATTAACAACAGCGAACAAGAGCAGAGAAATTCGAGACACGAGCTGAATACACAGAAGCAAACAAGCAAATGAAGAAGAGCATTAAAGCCGACAAACAGGAATATGTGGAAGAGCTAGCAACGACAGCTGAACAATCTGCAAGAGAAGGAAATATGAAGCAACTATATGACACGACGAAGTAATTGACAGGTAAATACAGTAGATCAGAGATGCCGATCAAGGACAAGGAAGGTAAGCTAATCAGTGAAATTCGAGGACAGAGGAACATATGGGTGGAACAGTGTGAGGAACTCTTGAATTGACCAGCTCCATTGAATCCATGGGGTGTCGAAACAGCACACCCAGACGTTGCTATAGATCTCACTCCACCAACGACGGAAGAAGTCAGGATGGCCATCAGACAAATGAAGAGTGGGAAAGCAGCAGGACTTGACCATATACCAGCCGATGCACTAAAGTGAGACTTAGAAGTAATGGTAAAAATACTCCAGCTTTTATTCAGGTAGATTTGGTAGGAAGAACAAGTGTTGATGGAGTGGAAATAAGGATATCTGATCAAGATACCAAAGAAAGGAGATCTGAGCAAATGTAAGAACGATAGAGGCATCACACCGCCGTCAGCACCAGGAAAGTTTTTCAACAGTGTTGCTGAACTGAATGAAAGACTCAGTAAAGGCTCAACTTCGAGATCAACAAGCTAGATTCCGTAAGGATCAGTCGTGCACAAACCAAATCATGACACTACGGGTCATCTTTGAACAATCATCTGAATGAACCTCGTCACTATACATTAAGTTGATTGACTATGAGAAAGCATTTGACAGTGTGGATAGGAAACATTATGGGAATTTTTTCGACACTATAAAGTACTTGAGAAAACCGTCAACATTATACGGAATTCATACGACGTACTATACTGCAGAGTGGTGCACGGAGGACAACTGACAGACGCATTCCAAGTAAGGACTGAAGTCACACAAGGCTGACTACCTGTCTTTTCTCTTTCTTCTAGTGGTTGACTGGAATATGACAACCTTGACATCTGGGAGGAAGCACAGAATAAAATGGACATGTTGGATGCAACTAGACGATTTGGACTTCGCAGATGACCTGGCTCTTCTATCCCATACATATCAACAAATGCAGGTCAAGATATGCAATTTAGTAGTAGTCTCTGCACCAGCAGGCCTAAACATACACAAGGGAAAAAGCAACACTTTCAAATTCAACACAGAGTACACCAACCCAATCACACTTGATAGAGAAATTATGGAAAATGTGGAATATTTCACGCATCTGGGTAGAATCATCGACGATCGAAGAGGATTTGATGCAGACGTAAAGGTGAAGATTGGCTAAGCGAAGAACGCATTCCTACAACTGAAGAACATAAGGAACTCAAAACAATAACCAATATCAAAGTCACAATCTTTAATACGAACGTCAAGACAGTGAGTTATAGTGTACGTAGCTGAAACTTGGAGAACTACTACAACCGTCCTCAAGAAGGTATAAGTACTTATTAATAACTGTCTGCGTAAGATACTGAATATCCGTTGACCGGATAGCATCAGCAAGAGCCTACTATGGGGAAAAGCAAACCAGCTTCCAGCTCAAGAGGAAATTGGGAAAGGATGTTGGAAGTGGATAAGACACACATTCAGGAAATCATCAAACTAGATAAGGAGGCAGGCGCTAATCCTGAAGGGAAACGAAATAGAGGAAGACCAAAGAACACATTGACTCGGGGATCGGAGGCAGATTTCATAGGAGGGAATAGCAACTAGGAAGGATTTTTCAGGACAGAGTTGGATGGAGAATGCTGATGAGCGGCCCATGCTTCTCCACGAGGGTTAACAGGTGTAAGTAATCCTGCATAGTTTTAGGGTAAACAAAGTAGGGTAGCTCCAATTGAATATCAACTAATTTTGAAAACAATAATAAAAAATAAGGTGACTCCTATTCACTTATCACGAAAAACACAAACTATTCATTCGAAATAATCGTTAAGAAATCTGATTTGCAGCCACTGTATCTGCTTCTGTTTGAGCAATCGGGTATTACTAGCCGTCATATTTACAGTATACGAATTTGTGCCTCGTAAACATGCATCCATTTTGATTTCGTAGAATACTTTGTTGTGGGCATTTTTTAGGATTGACAGTGATGATGATGTGTTAGCTGTAGGGGCAGATTGGGCTATTGCGAAACTTTACTATTCTTTAGTCAATCAGTTTGTATATCTGTAATGAACATTATTATTATTATTATTATTGTAAGCTGTCATTTGGCTTATTAATCATTGTTATGTTATTCGCTGGTCAGAATTGTCGCCAACTTGATAATAAAACAAACTGTTTTAGTTACGTATATATTGGTACTTATATTCACCCATATTTAATGTCAAGCCTGACACAAATATGCGCTAGTCCAAGTTGCCAAATCACACTAACGTGATGAGATGAATGGTAAAATAGTCCGAATCGTACAGTAGCACTGTTAATGCGAAAGACTAAGCTCTTTGAATATGGTTTGAAATGACGGAGCTCAAAGACATGTATGGAGGATTACCGAAACTCCAAATGTAGGGTAAGATAAAGAGTGGATAAACCTACATCATTTTGATCAATTGCTATCAGGAGTGATGGCTTGGTGTTTAGATCATTTATAAAAGTATAAAATCCTCTTCGTTTACTTTGGTTAGGATAACTGAGAGGGTGGGGGAAACATAACTGATCCTCCCCATACAGTAAATTACGGTCAAAAACAGTATATATAAACTTTTATTTGGTAAGTACTTTAGCTATTTTGTACTCGATGAATCAACCCATCAGATAACACCATTTTATCAAGGATTTCGGTTAGTCCCGACCACATCAGTTGATGTCATCTTTGTCAAGTTTCCTATTGCTAACCACAGTGCTGCCTACGCGGTCGTTACACTGTGCGCCAGAAATGCTTCGAAGAGACCTATGATCAAGAACTATCATCTTATGTATGTCTTCTAGATTCACACATATTTTGCGGCTACGGAATAGGTGTCATTACCGAGATTCGACTTGGTAATTTAAAATAAATTGAGCAATACGTAGATAGTTTGTAGTGTCAGTCATTATTTTAAGCCCATAATATACCTTATTCTAGTTTTTGGACAAACCAGTCTATTCATTCTACTTGAGTCATATTTTGACCTTGTCAATTATTCGCTTATCAGTCTTGACTATTTTCATATGAGCGTATATGTGTGTGTACACTTCATATTCCATGTCTCGTCACATGTCTGTAGTTTATTTTGTCTGCCTATAAATATTTGAGTAACGCCTGGGTAGAAATTAGTTGGCTTACCAGCCATCTGCAGTGTGTGTCATTTTGCTTTGTTCTATCACATTCACTTTACATACGGAATATATGTATTCAAAGGCCATTCTCGTTAATTGACTTATCTAAATTCCGTTATATTGAATAACGTGATTTAAGTCGATGATTATATACGAGGATAGGTGATAACATACATTCATACGATCTAAATGGAGTCAGATCAACGGGCCACTAAAAGTTATTAGTAAAAAATAATATATTTGTAACATCCCAATGAGTAAAGAAATTAAATTTATAAATTTTCGGATGTTTCGTGACTCAGTGTAGGCCGCTTCTTCAGAGAATAAATGAACAAATTAAACTAGCATAATATTAAATTGTACACAAGAACAAAGCAACAATATTTAGTGCGACTAATCAAAAATAGGTCTTGCGAAGTCAATGTTATGTCATTCCTGCCGAGGTGATTTATGTGAGACATGTTTGTGCAGTTGTGTGTATATAAGTTCAAGGATGAGAAAAATGTGACATTTGTGGTGCGAATGGGTAGTTTTGAACTTATATGTACGATAATGGTGTGAGATGTGAATAGAATCAGACATAGTGGCCCGGATAGATGGTCCAAGTCAGATGGATGGTGAGGCTTTCTTTTCAATTGAAGGCTGTAGGATTAAGCAATATATGGAAAGCTTCAGCTACTCAACTTTCTTTGTAGTTGGAAAAGTTTTTTTGTATTATGTTGATGCTCTTAATATCGACTTGATGGTTATTGACAATGTCATGGACTGCTGTTGTCGATGTAATTTGAAATCTTTCCAGTTCTATGGGATTGTTAGGCGATTTTTCTGTGTACCTAAGATGTTCTTTAGTTCGAGTCAAAATTTCACGAAATGACTTTCTAATATAGAAGGCATTGCAAACGACACATCCTAATATGTAGACAAAACTCTGTGTTGATATAAAGGGAATTATTTCCTTTATGCGGACTAAAACATTTAGAAGGGTGTTCGTTGTTTTATAATATATTTTAATTTGCTTTTATTTTAAGGCTCTTTGAAATTCTGTTATACCATGGCGGTGCGGTAAAACTACAGTACCAATCCATTGTATTTCATTCGGATTATTATTTAGCAGTAAAAGGTCTCGTTTTATTGCACTTTTAATAATCGTCATAGCAACATTACTAAATCGTAAGATGCCAATTATATGCTTTCGTACTTTTTGTCTATCCTCTTCAAATATAATAGTCTTGTTTGCTTTTCTAAAGAGATTTAGGGCTAGAGAGATTTTCGCACCGAATGGATGTGCTAAATTGAAGTCGATATAACGATTTAAGCGCGCTGGATTTCGGTAGATAGTTAGATTTAAAGTTCCACTTTGATTCCTTTTAACTAAGCAATTTAAAAATGGTAGCTCACCGTGTTCATTTTGATTCTCGTTCGTACAGCGAGAAAGAATTAGTTCGCCAAAAGAAAATCAAAGAGTAATTTTAATCTCACGGTTTTAAGGGAAAACAAAGAGTGTACACACCTATGCCATTGTGACCGATTCTGAGCCATGTCACCCAGTCTCCAACCACTGGTTACGGTAGTCGCGCGGACCCCAACCAAGTAATCTGCAACTATCAACATGGCTCAGACCAGAAGTTAGTGGCTTTATGGATTGATGCTACGTTTTGATTTGGCCGCCCCTAACATTCTTCCTACCGTCTCCAACACTAATCAGCATCACAAGCCGTGGTAATCGGTGGTCGGGCATGTGTAATACGTGACCCAACCATCTTAGTTGATGAAGATTTACAATCTCACCAACTGATTTACCACCATTCTCCAATACCCTGCGTCTAACTCTATTATCACTTATCCGGTGATCTCAGCAAATACTGACAATATTTCCAAGACATCTGTGATCGAATACTAGTAACTCACGATTATCATCTACCCTTACTGGTCATGTTTCGCAGCTGTGAAGTAATAGAGTAGTACGGAGTGGGCTGAAATCTGGGAAAGTTGAAATTACCATGATCTATCAGTCGTGTGAAACAAATACAGTAACGGAGTGAACAAACTTGTTTTATTCACACGACAAACAAAAACATTGGACTAATCGGGTTATTCGTAATATTATCACATGAGATTGTAGTGATTGTTGAATTTGAAGCTTCTCATCACTAACCAATTTCGGTTAGACCTTCTACAAAAACCAGGAGGCGTTGGACAGCTGATTCGTCACATTGTCGGTGCTAAGGCGACCACAGGTTGTCTACCTTCTGCCATTAAATGTTAGTTCATTCTCTAAAGGATAGCCTCGATAATATTTTGGCATTCATATTTCTGCATTAACCTCTTCTGTTAAATAATTGTTTTTTCGTCTAGTTTGCTAATTTTCCTATATCCCAAAGTCGTATTTCGTTGTTATACATACAGAGTTGTCCCACTTCGAATTTTACCTTCGGAATATCAAGTTTATCCTGTTCTTCTGTCTTCTCTCTGCACCCCCTCGCTATGGCGATTATTGTTGGTGTTATTTATCAATAGCCGCAATTAGTTACTGTAGGACTAATCGTAAATTATAACAGAGGGACTCCTCTACAATATTCGTCCATGAATCAACCAGAGGTTGAATCCAGGACCTTCAAACATTAAATGGGGTGGGGTGGGGGGCGTTTATACTTTTGAGTACTGAATAGATATCCAATGGTTTACATTTCTGACTTCAGTTCATGTTATTAAAATGTGTGTTGTATCAATGAATTGATCTTGAATTTTCAAAGAGATATGATTATTATCGCTTCATCTGTTTTTTTAGACCAGGCGATTATTCGCTTTTTGAACATAATTGTAACACTTTCAGTGAACACTTTATATTTCACTTGACTGGACAGCATATCCCATCGTATATATTGAACTTACCTAATGAAGTTTTGTCTACACCATTTGGAGCTTCATTAGGTTCAGCTTTGAATGTCCTGTCGGTTGGAATCAATTCCAAAACACGTTTGAATAGTATTAAAGAAATTCCATGTATGTGTTGTGTTTCATTATTATGATAACTGAAATTTAAAAAAAATATTATTTATAGCTAATAACGATAAACATACATACGCTGATATTATTAAATCTTTTCGACCAATATTTTTTGATGTAAGTGTTTTGTGGTTAATTTGTTTGAGCTTTTTTGAGTATTTTATTCATTTAATTGTCTACACTGAAATATCTCATGTAGTTGATTACTATCAATATACTGGCTCGATTGTCATGTACGCATTTGTGCAGTTGGCTTCAAATCGTATTCTAAGTGCGAAAGATGAAGTTATTTTCTAGTTAACTAAGTCGAAGTAGGTAGGTTGAATAGGATTTGAACCTGAAACTTAATAATTTAAAGTTGAATAGTGTAATCATTGAACCACCGCTTCACTTGTAGTAAACTAGCGAAGTTCATGAATGAGACTGTTATAAGGTTGATTTTCAAAGTTGATTATAAATCTCACTTATCAACTTGAAACTTTATACACAGCCTTGATGTATATTGTTTGTATATGCGTGTGGGCGGTTGTGATACTGCTTTATTGCTGAAGAGGAAGTAGGCAGTGGTGAGAGTTTGAACCTGGGATTTGTGAGTTGAAAGTCGGGTGCGAAGTTGTACTGCCAACTGTATTGGAGCGTGATGTCAGTATGGTATTCCTCTCAGGAAACCAGGATTCCCATTGTTATTACTCTCTCATGACGGAAGGAGAGAGTTAGGCAAAGTCGACTAGAAATTGCACACCCCATTTCGCCCTACAGCTTTCTGTCGCTGGAGGTACGGGCATTCAAATACTTTACCTTTAGGTAGGCCACCATCTTCAATAGAATTAATCATAGTTAAAAATCAATGAACCAACGGTTTACTTAGGCTTAGTTGGTAATCAATATATCATACAGTTTATTATTGTATGGAAAGTGAATGCAAGTTTGTTTTACTATTTTCACTGACGTTGGAACGAATGTGAATAATGAGCTTTAGCTCACGAGACCAAAGGTCATGCGCTTCATTCTCTGTGGCAAGGTCGTGGAAGCTCACCTCTGAGTACCATGCTAGGATGAAACAACTGTCCAGTGCTTCCTAGTTTTCATTGGTGGTCTAACTAAGAAATTAGAAATCTTTAGTCCATAGACTTCATGCAAAGACCATGTTCACATTTTCTATACTGCTAAATACTATTGGTAGATATTTTTAATTTCAATCAAATTTAATCAGACTTGATAAACAAGAAACGAGCGGAACAACAGCATCACATAGGAAGTTTCAACACAAGTAGTTTATTGCGTAAAAAGATTCCAAGTATCTTGGTTTTCCGTAAAGCATCAGGCTCATAGCTCAGTGCATGGAAGATTTACATGGTTACCAAGGTTTTTTGTGTCCAATTTATCTGCAAATCCTCTGGTTTTTATAGATCTAACTATAGACAAGGTTTTGATTTCTGAAATGTTTTTAGATGCTATATACTCTCATTGTTGAATTAATTGGTTAGAAGTAACGGGTTCACATGTAGTCCTCATGTGAGATGTAATTATTCAACAATTTATATATAGTAAATATTTACTCATTATTACATGAGAGTGTCTCGAAGTTGAAAATCAGATGCAGTAATAATTAATTAAATGAACAAAGTCACCCATGAGTTATTGATTTTTCAATGAGACTAAAAACCAATTGGAGAAATATCTAGTGTTAAGAGGGTTATTTATCAGCATTATATATAAACTGTTTTATGACATTTAGTTACCCTTTGATACAGTAGTTTATATCTCGGTACTAAGTTTTCAAAAACCTTGAATATCTATACCTAATACTGCCTTCAGTGATATATCACAATACATATCCAATAACAAATGAATAACTTTGAACTAACGAATGCAGTTGATCTTGAGTTCTGATTAACGTAATCAAGTCCCTTAATTCGACCATAAGAGAAATTAATTGAGAACTGCAATATTTATTCATTTACTTACATGTTAGTTTCAATAGTAATTAAGTAGACAATTAATTTTGACTAGCGATAATAATGATAACATTGAAAAAGTCGTCCCTGTTTATCATATCTGTGTGTATGTATGTATATTTCCTTTTCAGGAACCTTTATCCTCAGAACTTCTTCCTCATCGTATATATTTGTTATGGCCAGCTGAGGGAAATTCAAGTTTACCAACTTTAGCTTCAGAGTTATCAAGAGTACTACTTCATGAGAACACGGAAGTAAAATGTGCTGAAGAATGTTCACCTCTACTTGGTGTGTGTTTATTTGTATACCTTGTTTCTGCAATGTTATATGTAATTCCTATTTTATGGTGTTTTGTTAGTAAAATGTTTAGATTAGTAGTTAGAGTTGATAATTTTCAGTGTCATGATATGCTATTTGTCCACAGTTTGAAGTAGAGAATCACTTTTCCAAGTCATGAAGGATAGCCAATGTGGGATGTTTTTGATACATATAAATTTTCCAGAACTGATTCTTGTAAATTGAATTGGGACCAACACTTATCTGACTCATTCAGACTTTTTGTAATGCTTTATTCTGGGTGCTGGTTTTTTAAAGTCTGTAATTTTCATAGAGGAAGAATGTATTTGTAAAATCTCAGCGAAAGAATTTGAAGTAAATCCAACGTTTCGCCTGGCAATCTGGTTCAAGCTTTTCCAAGGAAAATATGATCAGACAACAAAATTATCGAATATAAATGGGTACATGGTTCTCTGGTTTACTGTATACTGAATAAGTCATCCAATCAACGTGAACAATGTTTGAAGTATGTATTTACATTAGTATGTAAGAGACATGTGGTGTGAAACGAAAAGTGGTAAGATAACAAATCGTGTGTATACTTAAGTGATGTGAGAAGAAATTTCATTCAACTATATATTGTCTTCGGTCTGTGTATATTAAGAAAACATATCATTTTATATATGATCTGAATCAAAAATGTCACAGCATGCATTAAATGATAAATAAACAAGATAAGTAATCAAGATAAAAGACTGAATTCAAAGAGGAATGTATTTGTAATTGAAAGTTTGTGTTATTTTCATGTTCCAGTCAATTGTTTAACATATTCAGATAAGATAACTGATTTGAACCGTTGAACCTTGAAAAATCTTGGACCAGATTGCCAGGCGAAACGTTGGATTTACTTCAAATTCTTTCGCTAAGATTTTACAAATACGTTCTTCCTCTTTAATGTCTCACGTTAACTCGGCGCCCAAATATTACGAAACTATTCGTTCAAATTTAGACGAAAGTTTTTATTTATCTGTAATTTTCATAGTTTTTTTAAATTTGAAAAGACTCATCACACAGCATGGATTCAGAAGGCTTGATCGGGTTTTGTGAACTTACGTTACCTACGGCGTATGCGAGATATTCGTCTTCTAACCAAAGGGTGAGTCTAATGCGCTGCAGTTTGCTTCGTCCTACTTTATGGATGTAAAATGTGGAGATTAAGAGTAGAGAATATACGTAAGTTACTGATGCTTACGAAACATTGTTCGTGTATTTTGAAATCACGGAGTAAGCAATGTCTGGGTTAGGAACAGAGTACTAGGTAAAGATACAAAATCGATCAATGGGGTAGTAAATCTTCATCAACTGAAGTAGTTGTGACATATGTTACGTATACTCAACCACCGCCTACCTCTACGGGCGGTAGTATTTGGTGTAGGAGCAGGCCGGAAGAAAGCTAGGGGCGATCAAACCAAGACGTGGCATCAATCCATGAAGTCATTGACAATTGGAGTGAGACATGTTAATACGTCTAGACTATCTGGTTGGAGTCCGTGTTATTTTCGCTCAAAATCGTTTGGAGTGGCACAAGTACATCCATTCTTTGTCTTCCTCCAAATTCTGAGATCCTGGATTACCCAAAACGTTTTTGCTTTTATTTCGTTAATTTATATTTTCTTTTTGAGTCGTATCTTTGATGCCCAATCTTTCCTACTACCTCAACTATTCTGGAACTTATTCTGATAACTTCATCTTTCTGTGCCGATGTACATAAGAACAGGGTACATCCTACCTGTGGTATTGGTTCGTTATTTCTGTAATATCACTTAAAAGATATATCACGAAAGCTAACGAATTTGCTCTGAAGTTGTGACTCAGATTTCGGGACTTGATTTTCTACTATTTCATTACCGTTTCAAAGTTCATCTAACCTACTACTATTCGTGTAACATATTTGCGTTGTTAACCAAATATGTCCTCTAGCTTATTGATTGAGCCTACTGGTTATTGGTCAATTGACTGTGATAGTGATTTATTCGGTAAGGAAAATTGTAGTCAATATTTTTGCACTGATGTTAAATTGCATGATTGAATTATGCAAACCAGTGGATACTACTTTACATGGCTGGTGAAATCAAAATAAATGAAATGAGCTTTAAATCTGTAATTCATTAGTTAAAGATTGTGTGCTTTAATCGCTAAATCACAATCCCACTACAGAATTTTCAACGTTACAAGTTCAAGAAGTTGGGTGACGAGGGTGGAAATTTCACATTGGCCATCATTTCACTAAAGATTACAGGTAGATATTAGTGGTGAGTGCAAACTGGTACAAAACCTAGACCCCGTAGACTATCAACACAAGTTCTCAATAGTCATTGATATATATTGGAATTTAATGTATCAGTTAGAATCCTAATATTGTTTGCTTAAAAAGCATCTGTAAAACAATAATCTAGACACACTAATGATCTGAAGGATTTTTTAATTATCTTACTCTATCCATTACATATACATTTTGAATCAGTACAATTTTAAAACTTTGCATGAATTTTCATGCGTATTTAAAGTCTACTATTGTCGGTCTGTTGTTCAACACTCGAAATGTTTACTATTTTGTTAAGCAGTTTTTGTAACATTGAATGCTTTTCTAACATACATCACTAGTTCAGATTAATGAGCGAACTACGGGAGATATTGGTTTTCATCACCTTAAAATATATTTCTAAGAAATGTTATCTCATGAGTATTCTCTTGTAATAAACCTAACATAAAACCTATTTACCATGTGCGTATTTGTGTATTACTTGGCTTTGAGCCACGTTCTAACTGTGAAGGCTAGTGATACTATCGTCTTGCCTAGACTGAAGTAGGTGGGACAGTGTCCGAAACTGTCATTTAGTGGCTGAAAGTTGGATTTCTTAACTATCGTTTCGCTCTCCTATAAGTAGTCACTACATTGTTCTGTGAATCTTTCAACGCAACCCAAAACCTTCCGATCTCTTAGTTGAGACACTGCTAACGAGGATTTTCCAGTTTCATTCTGTGCTATCACCTATCCATTAATATGTAGCCACTATTATTGAATCACTCTTACAAGGAACATATACCTAACTGTATCTGTGTAGCCATTCAATTCAGAGTTAATAATAAATTCTCTTCAATGAAATAAGAGGAGTGTGGTTCTCTGTCCATCACTGTCTTCACTTTGTTTACTGATTAGGGATAACCTTACCACTGTTTTTTAACCTTGAGGATTGTTTGCGATTTACATTTTTTGATTTATTTCTCGTGCACGTATCTTCACAAATATTTTGTTATACTGATGAGTCAAAAGTTTGGACTTAACTACAATCAAAACAAGTAAAATTTCGTCTTCAATTCTTTATTTCTGAATGGTAAATTGCTGTAATTGTTATAAGAATATGGAGTAGGTGTAGTTTAATCGGAAAAGAAAATGTGAGCTACATATATCAAACGGAAATGAGGCAATAGGAAACCCTGGATTTAGGTTTCATATTATTTGACAATCGTCAGCAAGGTGTACCTGTGGTCTTGAGGAAACGAATGGTCTCTGTCGGATTCGATTCAGTGTTATTTGATCGACAGAACTCAATTAGCATTAACAAGGATTCGACGTACATGGTACTGGTCACTACTCACTAACCAATCAATTGTAAGCAGTGAGATAAGCACAAATAATTGAGTAATTACGAAAAACAGTTGTATATACTTACCAGTCGTAGTGTAAATCTACGACCCCACTATGTGGAATCGAACCCAGGTCCTTCAATCTTGCGTGCGAACGCTGAACGCCTAGACCACTGATCCGAGATCCAATGTTGTGTCTAACTTTAATCAAATGGTAATATTGTATGACCATCTTCTTCTGTTTTAGGTGGGTAACTGCCACCCACTCGACACGTTTGGACTCCACTGTCCATTGCTTATCATTAGAATTACAGAAATTAGTCATTGCAAACCTTTATGCTGGTAACTCGGAATAAATTACGTTATTATTACCTAGTCCTGTTGTTATTTTTTTTTAAATAAACAGCATTGGATGAATTGATTACTGGTGATCAATGTCGGGCAGTATGTGAATTATTCCGTTTAGCTATATGGAAAGATCCTAATATATTGATGAATTTGTTCACTGATCCAAGACGTTTATTGCACAAATTAAGTACAGTGAAAACACCTTATGTAAAACCATGTGAATTTTACGATATTGAAGCATCTCGTGCAAAATTAGTAAGTATTTTCTGTGTTCTAAACTGACAAATTTTCTTTATATTATTTATTTATTTATATTATTTAATAATCAGAGTGTCTTTCAATTTCCTCACTTCCCTTATTACCTACTTCAATGAATTTTGTCAATCCAAGAAGCTGATTCAAGTTTACATTCTATATGAGTCATATTAACATGAACAATTTTATTGTATTTTGTTTATCACAATTCTAAATTCACATGCTCTAAACGATGTATTTTGCCCTTAACCTGGCCATTTTTTCGAATTATTAATTTGGATATATAACTGTAGAACCTGATGAGAATTTATCGAAAGGAATATTCTTCGTTCAAATACTAGTCTTTTAATATGACGGGGATCTTTAAACGAGAAATCGTTTTATTCATTATTTAATTTTACAATCAGGGTATAACGAAATTATTTTTAGTAGATTTTCAGCTACATTCACTGTATGTGTGTATTCTTTGACAATTTCCACATGTATATAAATTATGAAATGAGCATACATAAGTAGATATGATCTTTTTTGGTTATTTGTGAATTATGGAACTTTAATTTTAGCAAATAGTAGTGGGTTGTGTCACACATTGGCAAGCGTTATGATCAACACATTAAAGTATACACTTTATCAGTACGAAAAAAAAACTGATCAGTTAATTATAGTATTAACTGTAATATTACGATTCTTTGGGTTTAATATCACTTTGATTATAGCGTTTAGTATTAACTAGTGAGCTATTAATCACTCCTGTGAAACCGTTAATCAGTTGCAAGCAACATCGAACTTGGAACATGTGAATTGGTTCTTGTTTTTATATCACATAATGAACACAGAAAGATTAAATTATGAAGATGGATACTAAATTAGTAGAAGTAGTAGTATCAATGACGATAGGAGATCTTTAAAGATAAAGAACATGTATCAAGTGTTATATCCCGTTAAGAATAATGAATAGAAACTGTTGGAATATATTTCTGAACTAATACTATACGTATATTTTTATTGTATAATTGTTAAGTAACTAGACCACTCATTCGTGTTCTTCTTATTATAAGCTTTGTTAATATACCCTTTACCATTCTTGAGTTGTGCTCAGTTTACCAATTACTATCTCCCACATTCACAGACACATTAAGCTAAATCTTGTACAAATGTTGTTTCCTATTTTATGGTACGAGGTGGTCTTGTTGGCTTGTATATAAACCCAGTATTTTCGAAATACATGACTTATATCTCAGAGGCTGAGGTTGGTGTTCTAGACTTAACGGGCAGGGCTAGGAGGGAAGTAGGACCGATAAAGACTCTAGACTGTTCGTACGGGTTTTATGTATCATTGGTCCGATTAATAAATCACTGTTCTCTAATAGGTGGTATCGTTACGTTATACATTAATAGGGTTACCTTCGTTATCTTAAATACTAGTAACTTAGGAATATACTCTACTTTTAAAAATTATGTTTCGCATTCGAAGTGATATGTACTCATTAAAGAATTGTAGGTATATATGGTCGACTTTTAATCACACTTTGTATGAAGTTTAGTGATATCCTACTCGGTTACCACAGCTGAAGTGATTCAGGGTTGAAACCTGGAACATGTTTGATTGAAAACCAAGTGCCCAAACTACTTTGATGGATTTTCGTTCTTTGAGCTGGATGGTTTGGTCGTAGAGCTTTCAAGTAAAAAAGCCAACAAACGCATCATCTTAATATATATATATATATATAAGACCTCAGAAATCAAGAGATTATTGCAGCTGTTTAGAATAGGTGTAGCACACGAACCAACAAAGTCATTTTAATCAATCTTATGCAAATCAAAGGGCAAAATGATAAAAGAATGGAAACTGGACATCATCTACCAAACAAACCGTTCTAGTTGCAGAAAACTCTATATTGGACAATGTGGACGCTCCCTTCATCTTCGACTGCACAAACTTCAGTTAGTGTTCAAAGGCCAAGACACATATAGTCATTTATATTAATACAGAGGAAAGTACAAATCTTAATGTATAAACTAAATTTCTTTCTTTTTTTAGTGATCGATGTTTTTGCTTGCTTATCTTTTTTAGCTATTGTCTCTGTTTTTCTTTTCAGCTGTGCAACTGTTTAGGTTTATCATTGAACTGGACAATTATGCGTGATGATGATATGAAGCTAGATATCAATAGTATTATGCAAATTAGTTTAACCCTGTTAAATCATGATGTTGAAAATCATTTATCCAAAGAGATTATGGGATCCGCTTCCACACCATCAACAGTAATAACACCTAGTTATTTACCAAATTTATTGCCAGAACATAAACTGGTCGGTTTAGCATTAGCTCACAATGTTTCCTTATATCCAACGGTGAGTTGCGTTTCTTTAAAAATTAAGATCACTAAACAATCTAAGTTAGGCATATATATATATATATATATATATATATATATATATATATATATATATAAAGAGAGAGTGTGTGTTTGAGGTCAGTCAGATTGTAGGGAAGATACCTCCACATTCTGCTGATGACCAAACTATTGCATTTTATTTTTGTTGTGTATTTCCGTTCAATGATACTACCAGCCTGAATAATTGTGAACAGTTGTATAGGCTAGCATGAATAATACAAGGACCTAAGTTGTTGCACTTTAAATCATTGAAACGAATGAGAATAAATATAATTTCTAGCAAAAATATAACGTCAGAATAATAATATCAGTGGTGTAGTGAGAAAAATTTGAGTGAACAGAATAAGATAAACAACTATCCAAGTGTTGGGGATGCTAAATCCCTAGAAATCACTTGGTAAACATCTCATTTTTATAATTTTATTTTGGAAATTTATACTTCTCATTTCCGCGCCAAAGCGCCCACTTTTACCTTCAGTTTGTATTTCTCACTTGGAAAGACTTTAAATGTCATTGCTTCGTTTCCTCCTTTAGTACACTATTTCGTAACGTTTTCCAAGGACAGTTTTGTACTGTTTATATACTCCCAAGTTATGTACTTGTTTATTCGTGTTTCCGAGTTGCTTGCAGAATATACATTTCCCTCGGCTGAATCTGGTCTTCTCCCTCTAGTTGGCAGGGCTGAGGCGCAGTGGAATAGTTTAGCTTGTCCTATTGTTATATTGCTGACTTTTGTTGAGTTTACCGGTTTTAGGTGATATCATAATCTCTTCAAACGTAGCACCAAGGCAGAAATCGCTTGTAAATCTACCTATATTGAGTGATTCTATTCATTTACAAGCCCCGTAACAGTAGATTTCCATTAGTTTATAGATGTTTACGTAAAACTTTGAACTTTTTGTTCGACTTCAGAACAGCTTTAGGCAACTTAAATCGATGCCTTTATCTTACTTATCACACGTGGCATAATTCAAATAAGTCAGTGTACTCGAATTATATTTTTTATTTATAATATGTGATATCTTAGTTGTTGGTTAGAGACTTTGAAAGGTATGACTCAAAATCGTTTGGAATGGCACAAGTACTTCCATTCTTTGTCTTCCTCTAAATTCTGAGATCTTGAATTCCTCATAACTTGTTTTACTTTCAATTCATTAATTTATTTTCTTTTTGATTCGTATCTTAGATGCTCAATCTTTCCTATTAACTCTGATGTTGTCACTACTTCAACTATTCTGGGACTTATCCTGATAACTTCATCTTTCTGTACGATTGGGGTATGGCAATCTGAACTAATGTACATACTTACAGGTTCTACGTTGCGACTGACTGACTCTTAGTTATTGGCTGTTACAAATTATCATAGTATGTTTTTTTCAGTAGTAATGAAATACACTTTTAAGGGTCTATTTTTTCTTCGATGGTGGGGAAGGATTTTAAAATCTTTTGAAACAGCTGGAGGTCATCTATAAAATCATTTTTCCTGTTAGGCATATTTATCTACTAATGTTGTTAGGATCTCTACTATATAACTCAAAAGTTATCTTAGCTTTGTAGGAAATTATTCATTCGTAGAATTAAATCGACACATGTCACTAGATAAACAATTGATTAATTAATTGTCAGTTTTTCTGAGTTACTCTAAGGGATTCTTGTTAGACGTATTAGAAAACTAAATATTGATATACTTTAAGAGGTCAACTGGTCTTATTTCAAATTAGTTCCAATATTTCATCATTTTAACGCTGTTCGCTTTCTTATTACATTTGGAATAATTTCAAAGTGTGATAGTCTTATTCTAGACAATTACTTATACAGTTAGCTAGTTAACTGATCACTAAGGCCAAGGTAATCACGCTTTGAATATTCAATTCAATGTGTAATTAAAACAAATAAAGATTTCATTTATATGGTCTACTTGAAGCTAATTCAGTATGGTGGAAAGAATTTAAAAGTTCTTAATTCAGTTAACTGAAAAAATGGTTACCAAGTTGTGTGCATTGCTGTTATGTATCAACATATACTTACAGTGTCCTTTAGAAATAGGATAAGAAAAAAAATTTGAAGTAGTATTACATCATCCAAAGTGGATAAATTCAATAAGATAAATGTTTATTTGATGTTTTATTAAGTAGATTATAAAATTTTGAGGGTAATGATGTTTATGGGATTTATTTAATCATTATTATCCACGTATGCAGAGAGAGTTCTCATTATCAACTGATGTCATTTAGTGTAAAACCAAGGAGCCCAATAGACAGTTAGTTCGATTTAATCATTCTGAGATGAGAACACACTTCATATTGTGAACTGGTTTCTACAAAATCTCCCCAAACCAAATTAATAGCTGTGTGTTTGTTAAAATTTCCGCAACAATTCTTGTAGGAGGTCTTAACTGATAAAATGAATGCATATTAGGAGTAAAACTCATCACCAATGACTTCGTGAATGACAATCACTCGTTATAAACTAGGGTTGATAAATATGGATCACTCTCTTGAATAGTAATATGGACCTGAGACGACCTGAATGTCTTCGCTTTTGTTCTCGATGGATTCATTGCGCTCACTAATGAAGAGTTTCAAGCTAGAATAAAACATATATCTAGTGTTTTTACTGTTTTCTTTTAAAAGAATAATTTGTAGTCAGCATCAGTAGTCCCTCTTGAGAACTCTATCTCTACATACACTAGACCGATTTCCACAACTATCCTTTTTATCTAAATTATTAATTAAATTATTGGTTTCCAACGTCTTTTAATTTTTTTCATGTCAATGTCGATTCGGATGACTATGATAGCTCAGTGAAAATGAAGCGTTAGAACTGGGAAGTTATTTGTTACATCTAGCTGTAACAAGTGAAAAATCATTTAAATATCCAATCGATAGTAAGTTAATAATTTTTTTCTTTTTTGGACGTGAGGGTTAGTTTTTTTAAAATTAAACATAGATTCTAACTTGAAGTGGAACCTATGACTTAATGGTTAAGGTGTTCAGCTTTCAATCACTAAGTAAGTCCTCACTCTACCTAGCTCGGTCCCGAGCAACCCGGTGCAGTGGCAACTAGCTGTCATCACACCCAGAGTGTGGTTCATATTCAAGTACCTAGTGAGGAAGTTAAATATTGAATCTTATTTTAACTTGATATAATATACTGTAAAATTAATAAAATATTATTGACAGTTAGAAAATTTATACTGTTCTTGTTCTGGCATGGTAATACTATCTTAATCGATATAAAGCCTGGGACAGATATACTCATCAGGTTATTCTAGCAAAGGCGAACAATACTTCTAAGAAACCTGTGATTTGATACTTACACCCTACGTATTTCTTTTATAGGCTGTTTTGTTTCACAACTATATTGTAATTCAGCGTGAACTGTTGTGCAATATAGTCATCCCAGATGGACATCTCCCGACCGTTGTTGCTACCTTGACGTGGTGGTCGGGCTTGCCTATCGTGATGAAGCAACCGAGCTATACTGGCTGGAACAACCGTTCCTCAAGGTCCTACCATGTCAGACAGGTCGGTTGAAGAGCCGTAAGACTAAAAGCAACAAACCCAAGGTCCGAAGGCGAAGTCGTACTGCTGACTGTACAGAGGTGTGACAGCAGTAAGGTGTTTCCTTCAGACAACCAGCATGACAGCGATGCTGCCTTCCCACAAGGAGGGGTGAGGTTAGAAAAGGTCGACCCTAAAAATGCACACCTCACCTTACCTCACGGATTTCCGTCTCCGGCGGTAAGGCCCTTTGAAGAACGGAGCTAACATGTCAAAAACCTCCCACGAAAAGGCCGTGCGCGACCGGCCTCAGGCAGTTGTCCCTTGGGCACTGCGGTCACGCTCTCAGGTCACTGAGACCGCCACTAATCCAATTTCCTTTTCAGGTACCTCCAGAAGAACCCTTCCACGGTGTGGGCAACCGGGAAGTGATAACCACCCTCATACCTCTAACAGCACCCAAGATCACTGTATTCATAATCAACCTTCCTCTTCCCTTCCTATTATTCCTCCTACATCGACTTTCAACCCTAAACTTCCTCCTTCGGCTTCCTCCTCAAGTGTCACCGTAGCCAACGATTCTAGTGCTCAAAACACTGTCCCAGGTCTACCGAAACCTCGCTCCAAACTACACATTGGAACTTTCAACGTACGCACTCTATGTCAAATCGGTCAGCAGGCTTCCTTGGCTAAAACCCTAGAATCTCTTTCCATTGATGTATGCTGTGTCTCCGAAACACTCATACAGGACTCCAGTGTGGTCATTCACTTGACCTCACCTCGTCAAAACGGAGAGCCAACGAGATACACCCTCCGTGTATCTGGTGACCCGATGGCCAGTTCTCGTGGACTGGCAGGAGTAGGCATAGCACTAAGCATGAAGGCGGAACAAGCACTGCTAGAGTGGATCCTCGTTAACAGTCGTCTATGTGCTGTTCGGCTAAACGGCTCCGTAATAACTCGGAAGGATAGGGACACACGTCGTTGCCTTTTTGTCGTTTCGGCCTACGCTCCCACTGACTGCAGCTCAGATGAAGTGAAAGATGAATTTTACAGAAAGCTGTCCGAACTTCTTCAGAAAGCTAAACGCTCAGACATAGTACTCGTAGGGGGTGACTTTAATGCTCAGATAGGTAGTTTAAACCAAACAGGAAGGCATTTAGGTGGGTATTTTAGCATTCCGGTACAGCGAACAGATAATGGTGATCGTCTGCTGCAACTGTGCTCAGACAATCGCTTATTTTTAGCAAACACAAATTTTAAGCATAAGGAAAGACATTGTCTAACATGGCGACCGCCTGCACCAAGCCAACGATGGACTCAAATAGACCATATTGCCATCAGTCATCGTTGGAGAGGGTCGGTAGAAGATTGTCGCTCATTCTGGAGTACCTGCTTGGACTCCGACCACGCCCTAATACGGGCACGCATCTGTTTGCGCCTCACTGGACGCAAAAAAGCCACAGTAAAATGACCCATTCGAACCGAACTGAGTAGCGAGGAAACCAAAAGTAGGTTCCAGGAACAACTGAGGTCACGATTAGGTAGTTCTGAAAAGGAGGCTGACCCAGATGTTGCTTGGAAAGATATACAAGCAGCTGTGGAAGCAGCAGTGACATCTATTAGCGACTTAAACCACAGAGTTTCAAAGAACCAGTGAATTTCTTCAAAGTCTATCACACTGATGAATTCTCGCAAACTCGTCCCATCAGGTTCCGAACATGAGGAAGAGCGACAACAAATGAGATCTAGGTTAAGAAAAAGTCTAAGAAACGACCGTGAGCAGTGGTGGGGATCGAAAGCAAAAGAGATGGAAAAGGCGGCGACTATAGGGAACACAAGACAGCTCTACCGACTAATAAAAGAAACTGGAATTAATAAGTCAAGTGTAAGTGAGATTATATCGGAAAAAGACGATACACTCATCTGCTCCCAGTCTAGACGTTTAGAACGATGGGCGGAACATTTCAGAGAACAGTTCAGCTGGCCTTCAGCTACTCTACAACTACCCTCCATTGCCAGACAGTGTGAATGGAACATTGAAGTAGGTCCCCCAACTCTTGCTGAAGTTCAAAAGGCTATAGTTAATCTGAAACGAGGAAGGGCAGCTGGTCCAGATGGATTGGTTCCAGAGGTCTTTAAGGATGGTGGTCCAATTTTAGCGATTATGTTGACTAATATTTTAGCTAAAATCTGGGAGTTGGAGGTTATCCTACCTGACTGGTCACAATCACTTATCGTCCCAATATATAAGAGAGGGTCAAAATCATCCTATGACAACCACAGAGGGATTAGTTTAACTAATATAATATCTAAAATACTAGCCTCGATAATTATCAGACGCCTAACTAAGACTCGTGAACTGCAAACACGAGAGAACCAAGCTGGCTTTAGACCTGGTCGTGGCTGCATCGACCACATATTCACCATTCGTCAGATTCTAGAACACAGGCATACTTATCGGCGTCCGACAATGGTGGTCTTTCTCGACTTAAAAGCAGCATTTGACTCGGTAGACCGCGAGATTCTGTGGCAGTGTCTGTCATTGAAAGGCGTACCTCGGAAGTACATAAACCTTGTAAAGGCTCTTTACTCGAACACTACTAGTCGAGTCAGAGCTTATGGCGAACTGTCATCTACTTTTGAAACCTCAAGTGGTGTCCGTCAAGGCTGTCCACTTTCCCCATTTTTGTTTAACTTCATCATAGATCTACTGATGGAAATAACTTTCTCGTCGACTGAGTTCTCGGGTATTGATCTCCTACCAGGAGGTCCACTAATCGACTTAGAATACGCAGATGACATAGTCCTGTTTGGTGAAGACGCTGACAAAATGCAGAGTCTTCTGGTAGCACTGAGTAACAATGCCAGAATGTTTGGAATGCGCTTCTCTCCCTCTAAATGCAAGTTGTTGCTTCAGGACTGGGCTGCGTCAACACATGAACTAAGGATAGGGAGTGAAGTAGTCGAACGCGTTGACAACTTCACTTATCTTGGAAGTCTGATCAGCCATAATGGGTTGGTATCGGACGAAATCTCAGCACGGATTCGAAAAGCTCGCTTGGCTTTTGCCAACTTGCGTCACCTATGGCGAAGGCGAAATATCCGTCTATCAATAAAAGGACGAGTATACTGCGCGGCAGTCCGTTCTGTTTTAATTTACGGCAGCGAAACATGGTCATTAAGAGTAGAAGACACTCGTAAGCTATTAGTATTTGACCACAGATGCCTTAGAAATATTGCTGGCGTCTGCTGGGATCACCCGGTAAGTAATAGTGAGGTCAGACGCAGGGTATTAGGAAATGATGGTAAATCAGTTGATGAGGTTATGAATCTTCATCAACTGAGATGGTTGGGCCACGTGTTACGTATGCCTGAACACCGATTACCACGAAGTGCAATGCTAACCGATGTTGAACATGGTTGGAAGAAAGTTAGGGGCGGCCAAACCAAAACGTGGCATCAGTGCTTGAAGTCACTAACTTCTAGTCTTAGCCATGTTGGTAGATGCAGAGTACTTGGTTGGGGTCCGCGTGATTATCGTAACCAATGGTTGGAGACTCTTGGTGACATGGCTCAGAGTCGATCACAATGGCGTCGGTGTATACACTCCCTGTCTTCCCTTAAACTAAGAGATTAAAATCGCTTCATATCTTTCTTTCTACGAACCAGTTCTTTCTTCTTGTACTATATCTCTATATGCAATCTTTCTCTTATATATTACTACCTTTGACCTAACCACTTCTATGAATCCGGTGTTCATCTTGTTGTGCTGATGCGGTATGGCAACCTGGACCGATGCACATATGTGCCTGGTCCTACGTTGTAACTGACTGACTGACTGAGACGGACATCTCGGACTCACCACATATGACACAAGTCGGTAAAAGCTAAAGGTGTTTTACGAATCCATGTCGAGACTTAGTCAGTCACCAACCCTCCAGAGTTTATGAGATTTCAAAAATGAGTGAATCTACCAACACAATCAGATACTGCATTCCCTAAAATCAATTTAAAGGTTGATGAAGACCAGTCCTGAAACAGTATTTTGCATTCAGAAGGGGAGAAGGACATCCTAAACATGCTTGCATCGTTGCTTAAGGCTATCAGAAGACTGAATTTTGTCAGCGTCTTCATCAAACAAAACTATATCATCTTCATATTTTAAGTCAGTAATCTGATTTGGTAGGCGATCAATCCCTGAAACGTCAGAGGAAGAAATCGGTATTTCTAGAGATTTTTCCATATAAATGGATAAGTAAGGGGTGTTGAACAACACTTGGTGCCATCAGTTCTGATAACAGCTCACTATAGGTATTTTCAGACAGCTCGTGCTGTATTGTCACATTACCAAGTATCGTCTATTCGACGCCTTATATCCCAATATACTTTGAAACTTGATTAATATTCTTAGAACCAGTCACTTTTATCCCTATTGTAATCAATTAATAAAAACCCGATTTTTCCCAATTTAGATTTACTTCTGTTTTTATTTATTTAAACGAAACATTTTAGCAATTTATTTACTGCGTACAATCTACTTCTTAGCTGTACGATTTTCAAGTCTTGCTGACTTAGCCAAATGTTATGATATTGAAACATTTCTTCATGAACTCATTAATGAAAGACACTATTCAAATCATAATGTAATCCCGTCGTCATCATCATTAAACTCGTCAACTGTTCCAAACGAACACAAACACCAGGTTGACTACAAAAATAGTTTATCTCAGACCACAAGAACAAGCAGTCTTTTTCAACCTTCAAAGAATATAGAAAGTGGTATTGAATCAGATTCATTGACAACTTTCGACTATTTGATCGCTTCAAAACTGCTGAATTTTTTATCAAGTAATTGTGAATCAGATGAGATATAACAAAGCGCCATTAATTTGTGAATAATTTCAAAGTGAATATACTATTCTTGTTAATTTTAGGAAGTGACTTTTTATTTTTACCGTTTTCAACACCATCAGCGCTATCATCATCATTGCTGTCATTGTTATTACTTGAAAGTGATTTACGTTTATTTTTTCACCGATTAATTTTCAATATTCATTCTAATATATTTTATTCATCCTACTTTCTGTTTCCTTCTCAACGTCAATTAATTAAGTTCTCGTCCAATATTCATATTGCTCGTTTTCTTTAATGACATTGAGAATATTATATTTTACTATTGAAAATAGACGGCTTTTTTCTTACATTTCTTCTTATTTACCATTTCATTTAATTGTTTCATTTTGTGTGTGTATGTGTGGTTTTATCATTAGTTGTATTAGTGATATAGATGCCGAATCGTTGTCGACATAATACAGTTGACTTGGTCTTGTTCACGAAATATTTGGTTTATATGAGTATAAGTGGAGACACTGTACAGCTGTTTTGTCGTAGTATATTAATACTCAGCAGTATACATCCATGACCCCACTGCCGGTAATAGAAGCTAGAACATTCAGATCTCGCGATGAGGGATTAACCTTTAATTTACCAAGTCGACATACAGTGGTTTGTATTCTTAGTTTCGATGCCTGGTGTGGTTGTAGGTGTATACTGCTGACGATTTCACAATATTTCAGTTTTTTAGAATCAACACTAAATATATAGAGATATGGGGTTTAAAATTGTATGTATGTATGGACGTATGATGAATACGATGTTAGAATAGCTATCCGCGATAATAATATTTGTAAAGACACCTGATATCGACGACTTTCAGGGACTTATTAGCCAATCAAAAAGCGTCAGTTATGTAAGAATTGTTTAATAAACAGTTTTCACATAATGGATGAACATTCACATTATTGGATTATTTATGATAGTAAACGGGAAAGGGTTGGGATTTGACGTTCGAAGTCGGAGTAGAGCTATGAGACTGGGTTAGAAGTGCTAGAGTTAGGTGTATAGGTTAGGATGGAAGAATACTTTTTATCTACAAAAGTATCCTTTACTACTCATTGAGTCACATCAAACGCTCACTGTATTAGAATCATTTATTCTTTACAACGTAATTTAAGCACCATCTTGTATTTACTGTGTGGTTGGATAAAAGATATTTTATTATTCTGAGAACTAGATATTGGCAGTTTTCAATCAGTTGTTAGCCCCCTGCCATTAGTTTTTGAATTTTGCTCAACAACTCAATGCCATCTTAAATCTGGTTGACTCGTGAATATAGCATATTTTTGTCAAAATATCTTCAGCAAAGCATAGTAATAATTAATAGATTAATCTTAATTCAAGTTGTTAGATATCAATATAACTGTATCCTAAAAGGAACGAATGTTGCTTACAACAGAATATACAAAACAAATGGATACACTGTTTCAAAACTTTGCTCTTGTTTCAAGTACCCCAACGTTACAAACTTTAATATTACTATAAATTCAACTTTACATACTTTAGTTCTAACTTTAAGAATGTAATTTTATGAGTTAGTATTATTTAAATTAATACATACAGTATTGATGATACCTAACGAATATGTAAAATACACAGTATTAATCCTCCCGTAGATATTCTACATCGTAAACAATACATTTACAACCACTTTATATTTATGACTAACTTTGAATGTCTAATTTCTTGTTATCTTAAACATATTTATCGTAAAAGATGTTATGCTAAAAGTTGTTTTATGTAAAGTTAACATTTTAAATCTGATTGATAAATCCAAGTGACTAGTATTTATCAATTTTGGGTTGTGCAGTTTGTTGAACTATATTGAAATCATGAACCGAACTAAGCTAGACTACTATTGAAAACCTGGAAGCGCTGAACGTCCATTTCGTCTTAGTATGCGACTCCTTAGCAGCGCACACCCACTAATTCACATACGGGAATCGGAAATAGGATCAGTCACGCTCGCGAACTCGAGGCCACTGAGTAGAGATCCAACGGTGTCTATATCTAACTTACTGATATAGAGTGCCTAGTGATTCTAGAACAAGTGAAATGACCTAATTTTTCATCTTACAAACCCGGATATATATTATATTGCTGCATAGTCAGACGGATCATATGAGTTCATAATGGTAAATAGATCATGTAAATACTAGGGCCTATTGTAAATCGTTCCTCATGTAACTCGTCATATAATAGGTATGATTTCTACATACACCCACTCTTAACAACATAGCCACCCACTTCCCTTAGTCCTGTTTCTCTTGCATAGTAAGGCATTTAGGAAACGTTAAGTCGCTAAATCAGATTATAGGAGAGAATGTATGAATCAATACGAGGATTTCCGTATTGTGCTCAAATGGTCCGTATCAGAGGACGCCATACCACTACATCGCCCACCAACATAGTCGGTGTTTGGACAAACTTAACATGTATCCCAACCAACGCAGTTGATGACGATTTACTACCTCGTCAATCCGTCTGTCATATTCACCCAAAATACACGAGCGATGCTTTGAAGACGCTTGTGATAGAATACTAATAACCTAAGAATAACCCCTATTCTCGATAGCCATGTTTCATGCTCATGGAGTACAAAAAAGCGGACTGTTGTCCATCCTTTTACTGCAGACGCGTAACTCGCATGCTCCACGACAGACGCAAATTGCCAAAGGCCAATCAAGCTTTATAAATCCGTGCCGAGATTTCGTCAAGGCTGATAAGACTCAAGAGAGCTGATAAGAGAAATTCTAATTGTATTCTTAAATATCTGGGTTATATCTGTTGCCATAAATAATCTAGTATACTGAAGTAAACCCTGATATATAAATGTTTCTTACAATGTTCTGCTTTTGTCTGCAATATTTGTCTCAGGATGTACGCATGAAAAATCCCGTATAAAAGACAAAGTAGATAAGTTAATTAGAATGTGTAATTGTTCTAGATTTCATGACAGATTCCGTGTGAAATTGGTTAGCTATATTAAATAATCACCCTATACTTAGAATTAGTTTATTATTTTAAGGAACAAGTTCTGTTGAACAGTTTTTCAGCATAATAAAGCATTCATTCACTGTGCAACGGTTAACAACACGTTATTAAAGCTTAAATCTGATTTATTAATAAATAAAATGTATTGTTTTTAAGCAACATATCATTCAGGCGGATTGTTTTTTTTTGTAAGGTCATCAACTTCTTGCTAATTTTTCTAGCTGATGTGCTCTTCAATGTTTTCTTTGTTCAGTAAGTGTGTTGTATCTAATAGTTTTAAACATATTCTCATTCGGTGAATGTTGAATGTAATTTTATTTCAAGCGTCTAGGATTATTAGTACCTGTTTAGTATGAACATGGAAATTCCGTGCATGACAACATACCGTATATATAGATATTTAGTGATAAATTACACTCTAATACACGAAATCAACATAAGACAATAACTGAAAGTTCTAAATACAACACGCTTATTCAACGTTGAAAACGCTACGGATAAACTCGGCCAGTTACTTTTTTTTTCGTTTCTATATATTAAAATTTACACATAAAATTGAATATTATTTCACATTTCACAAACAACAACCAGAAAAATATATGAATACAAGAAAAACAAATAAAATGATTGTAAACATTTAAACAGAACACAAAAATAGTTATTGACATTTCACTTTCATTCAGTATTAGGTTAAGACAAGAGGATAATGAATGATGATGAGGAGGATGACGAAATGTTTGTGTGTGTGTGCGCTTGATTTTGTAATGCTAAAAAATAATATTGCAAAAAGAGTCAGCCATAATGATCAGATCATTTGAGATGTTTGTGACAGTTTTCCCTCTCTCTCTCTCTATTTTTAGAAGTTATCAAAAATCTTATATGAACTAGTTGATTAGTGATAGAAATAAAATTGACATTTATTGAACGCCTGAATATATGATTCATCAATAGTGTTTGAATTATGTTCCATATTTAATCATTATTTGTGAAATGGTTACATCCAAATTAAAACAATTCACAACATACATAAATAGATGGTAACATTTTATGTAAGTAAATAATCTATCTAGGAAATTCATAACCGTTACATATTCTTAATTTATATTTGAAAATGTAAGCATTTGTTTAGATAGTTAATAAATTGAACATGAACAATAACAACAATAGAATTTATGTAATTGAACAAAATAATCAACATTACACACATGTAGTAGACATGTAATTTAGAATATAATAGGAATGAATAGTGTTATTAACTACAAGCACATCCTAAAACAATTAAATTATGTAAAGTATGCATTTGTAATTCACGATTTGAATCCAAGTATAAAACAGACATACTAGTTAATTGAGTTGGATGACAACAAGATTGTACATCATCACGTTGAATATTTCCAAATTGTGATAAATTCTTACGTAATAATAAATCCATAACATCGTAGTGTAGACTTTTTGTTGATGTGACTGGAAAATGAAAAAAAAAGACGTATGTCTGTGATAAAAAATCAAATAATAAATTAGATACAAGAATTACTTTTTAATTTTTTTCGAAAATAAAATAATTCATATCAGAAGGGTTTTGTGGATATTATAGTAATTTCAATGGTTGAGATCATGAGTCAATTGAAGCTAGACCGCTATGGAAAACTGACAGGTCCTGGGTTCGAATCTCTCGAGGCGTGATCGTGGATGCGCACTGCCGAGGAGTCCCACAATAGGACGGAACGGCCGTCCAGTGCTTCCAGTTTTTCTATGGTTGTCTAGCTTCAATTGACTCATGATCTTAACGAATGAAATAAAATAATTGTTTAGACTAAACAAATTGTTAGGTATAGGACTATTGGTTGACAATAAGCAGTAATGCAATAATCATTAATGTGTATCCCTACTATTCCCAAAAATCTGTTAGAAAGACTAACAACAATCAGATTTGATCTTTTCATTCATTGAAAGTAAGAAGACTACTGTTCGAATATTCGAGACTATGCTCTTATAGTCTCTTAGAAAATTCGAGTACTTTTCTTGTAAAATAGAATCATGCTACAAAGCATTAGATGTACTTAACAAGGAACATCTTAATAAATTCAGCACATAAATCTCTTCGTATCATTGATGGTAAATCGATCAATTAACTAATAATACAAATTGCTAATATCCTCAATATTTATCTATTCGAGTAACTGAGAAAAAGTGGATCTGGAAATTTTATCTGGAACTACGACTAAAGATGATTATGTTTAGAGACGTCTTAGTATTTTTAGAAGATCATTACCCTTAAAAAGTTATTGGCTATCGGTATCCAGGAGCTTGATGTTTGGAGTGGTAAATACATAGTTTAGATCTCAGTGTGAACCTTGAGGTCGATATACTGGTAGGCCCTGTTGATAAAATACAAATAGACTAAAACGCACGTTTAAAGTTACGCTACAGATCTAAGAAAAATCTTGTTTAACATTAATACACAACTGAAAATTATAGTAACCTACCTTTGCAGGATCCTCTACAATAATTCGGTTCAAAACTTTTCGGGTGTATAATCCAATTATCCCAACCAATATCAGAAAATTTAACAGATAATGGTTGTGTACAACAACTATAATGGTGTCCATTAGAACGACATACATTGTATATTGTCTCGTCTCCTTTAGTTAATGAACGCCTCTGTCTTTTTAAACGTGGACGATATCTAATTTCCATAACAACCTTAGGAATATATAGAAATATTAAAATAGAAATATAACTCTTGATAAATCATTTATGTAATTCAAAATGAATATGAGGTTCTTGGTATAAGAGATTGTAGGATTTTCACAGTTTAAACCACGAGATAATTTTAGCCAGACCACCATTAAAGTAACTGTGGTTGCCAACGTAGTATCATAGAAGTTAAGCTTATATGATCGAGACTAAAGGTCCTGTTTTCGATCCTCGGACCCAGGGTTGTGAATGAGCACTGCTGAGTAGTCCCAAACTAGGACGAAACGGCCATTCTGTGCTTCCAGGTTTCCAACTGTGGTTTATCTAAAATCATTTCGTGGTTCAAACTATGGTTAAACATAATGATGGCTAAAGGGGGTATATACTTTTTGGGTTCAATGTAGCTCCAAACGATAAGGGACTTGTTTCAGTTTATGCAGAAGCAATCATCATATTGTATCAATTTACTCGAAAATTTTTAATTTCTGAGATCCTATAAATATGCAATATGCAAAATATTATAGAATAAGATCAATCTGTAGTTAGGATAACTTAAGTTCGTTCCACAAAACATTACATTTACTCCTATTTAAGACACAGTAAACTCTTCAAGTTCTCCCATAAATTATGGATATATATTCGTGAAAGATTTTTAAGTGGAATATTTATTGATATCAGTTTTCTTTTTACGACCACCATTTAAGCGGTTTTATTTTGTGACAAAAACTATGGTGGTGTCAAATAACTAAAAGGGGATCGAACTAGTTAACACACTAATACAATTTTTAGAAAAACGACAATCATTGTAAAGTGCAAACCTGTTTTCAGGTTTTCCATGGTGGTCTACCTTCGATTGACTCTTGAATTCAACTATTAAAATTCCTATAATATCCACAGAACCCCTCGCTGATTATAAAATACAGAAATGTTAAGGTTATCATAACATCTGCTGAAATTCAGCAGCCTAATACTGGTCAACTTCGAAGCCCTTATCAATAGCATTCTTCCAATTTATTCTAATAATCCAACGTAAAGATTAAAAAAAATACGATGGTAGCTCACTTATATTCCCAACCATCTTACGATTTTATTGATTAAATACAGTCAACACTAAGAATCCTAAAAACAGGACATTTATAAGTTTAGAAAACAAATATGAATGGTAACTAGTAGTGGAATCCAGAACATGCGTTTCGTCCTATTTGGAACTCTTCATCTGAATGTACCTGTATCTCAGAGTTAATGTTCACTCTGAGACTTAGGATGCATATATACCAATAAGAGACTGATCAATTACTGTTCTAAACATCAATCCAAAACTTCAAATAAACGATAAAAAATTATTCACTTGGTGTTGTTTTACTTCTATCATCCCATTGTTATTTAGGACTACAATTGATCAGTCTCATGTTAGCATATGTACATCCTGTGTGGGTTGCATCGATATCACCCTAAGTCACAAGCTTTTTAAGCACAGATGAATAGTGGCTAGCAATGGAATCCAGTTTGACGCACGTTTCGTCCTATCTAGAACTCGTCAGCTGGATGTACCTGTATCGCAGAGTTGATGTTCACTCTTGAACTCAAACCCAATAATGTTCGCTTCAAACGTCATCGTGTTATCCACTTAGCTACTAAGTCCCAAAAAAACAAATGAATTTGTTGGTAATATTTATTACATTTGTCTTTTTTTGCTAAATATTTATGTAATTTTACTAGAATATATAACTGTTAACTATATGATCTATTCAATAGTGAAACATTTATCAACCTTTTTTTCTGTAATATACAATTCATTAATATTATTATCAGATGGGTTTTGTGGAGATTGTAGTAATTTCAATGGTTAAGATCATGAGTCAGTCGAAGCTAGACCACCATGGAAAATCTGGAAGCACCGGACGGCCGTTTCGTCCTATTGTGGGACTCCTCAGCAGTGCGCACCCGCGACCTCGCCTCGCGAGACTCGAACCCAGGACCTACTGGTTTCGCGCGCGAGCACTTAACCACTAGGCCACTGAATCGGCATCCAACGGTGGTAATGTCTAACTTCAACTAATCCACGAAATTGAGCGACACATTCACCATTGTCTTCAGTGAGTTACTATCTCACAACAAACGTGGTTGAATATTAGATTTAACATTAGATATCTTTTAATTACCTTTTTTGGATCAATAATATTTTGTTCATTATCACAATCATTACACATAATCATTAAATATCTTATTAATGGTTTATAGGCTTGAATTTTTATATGATTATATTTTAACCAATGAATCATACGATTTGTAATATTCAATGTTATCATAGATGTCAAATTATTTTGAGGCATCATAGTTTTAGCTATTTCTGGTTTAATTAATCTAAACATTCTTTGGAAATCATTAATAGATAATCTATATGGATCATTGAATAAATTGGATGATTGAAATTTCTGATCATTTTCCATTTCATTATAATCATTGATATCAGTTTGTGGTAACGATTCAGCTGTTAAATCATCATTATCGTTATTATTATTATCATTAATATCATTAAACCATAAAAAATTTGGTTTAAATAATGTAGGATGAATTTCCCATAAAGTGAATATTGAATTTGGACGAATTTCACCGTTGATCTATAAAAAAATGAATAAAAGATATTTAAAACAATTAGTCCCTTTGATAAATTTCGATAGTGTAATGAGAGGACAACTTCGCCTGGAGTACCTCCGGGGGCTACTGCTGGTCCCAAGCCCGGATAAAGGAGGAGGGTTGGACATGGGGTTAGCAACCTCATCCTGTAGAAAACTAACTCGCCAAAAAAACGCTAAAAAAACGCTAATGAGAGGACGTAGTTTATCAGAATTATGTGATATATATTTGAGCAATACATTTTGAACAATCTGATCACACATTACATACTTTTTAAGAACATTGATATATGAAAATTAAAACGTCAACTAGACAATTAAGGGGGGGGAGTGAACGCATACCACAATGGTTGCAGAAACAAATAGATTCCAATGGTCAAATAAGATCACAGGATAGACGGACATCCTCCTCCTTTGTGAAGCATTTGATTGAGACTGGTTATAAAGTTGATATCAAATAAATATTTATAGTGGTGTTATATGAAAGCCTTCATGGACGTATACTAAAGTTTATTGAAGCATTGGCTATACGGAAATTAAAACCCAGTTTATGTGTTCAAAAACAAGTTATCCAGAGTGGTAATCACATTTGTTTTTGTGTACTTTATTATTTTTTCCTTTGTTATGACTTACCCTTAACCTGTCTAGTTGACCTTTTAATTTTTCATATATAAATGTTCTTAACAAGTATATATGTATGATAAGATTGTTCGAAATGCATTGCTCAAATACATATCACATAATTCTGATAAACTTTGTCTTCTCATTGCATTGTTAAAAGATATTTATTTCAGAAGTTATACCTATTTTGAGAATAAATCCACCTATAACTCTTTCAGAGTTACTATCAGATTTCAAGTTCAGATGGGCATGTGATCCACAACCTCATCCTATAGAAAATAAATTTTCGAAAAAAGAAAAACTTTAACTAGAATAAACAAAGTAATTTTAAATATAATGATATTTATTTTTGAAGAATTCAGTTTGAATATTATATCCACTGTTATATAAGATATTAGTTTGGGTTGACTGATATTATCTAACATAGAATGTATTGTGTTATGAATCTGATTGGTCGGCAATAAAACTCCTCTTCAGAATTCATGCAAATTAACGCTAACGAATAAAATTTCTCGGTAATTTTTTAAAGAAAGCTGGTATTCCCAAAAAGATTGATTCATTCTTCACTAAATTATATAATTTCTGAGCTATGTCATTGAACTAGTCATGCCAAACCTTTATTAAAGTAAAATGAATCATTGATTATTGTGAAATATCAAGATTTTTCGTTGTTCATTTCATTAACTGAATTTTCAATATGGGTTTATTGAGATCATAAATCGATTGATGTTAGACTACCATTGACAATCTGGAAGCACTGGACAGCTGTTTTGTCCTAATATGGGACTCCTTGGCAGTGCGCATCCACTACCCCGCTTGCGGGATTCGAACCCAGGACCTCCGGTCTCGCGCACGAACGCTTAACCTCTAGACCACTGAGCCGGCCGGCATCCAACGGTGTTGATGTCCAACTCCAACCAATCCACGACCATCTTCCATTGCACCGAGGTTGATATCTGTCTCTATCTGACATGGATTAGCTCCATTATTTATGGCTTCTCACTAGAACTCCGAGAATTCCCTCACGAATCTAGTCACTGAATTTTATTAAAATGCAAGGCTTCTTGTAATTTTCAACTAAAATGTCCAGTGGTAGAACAACACGGCTACTTTTTAATAACTATGAGTTTGTGGGTTGTTTAATTATTGATTATAGTCATAAATAAACCATAAAATATAAATTAAAAAAAAATTGATGTCAAAATCGAAGGTGACTTATGTAAGCTGTGCATGAAAATGTGTTACTTACTACTTATAAGTAGCTAGAGTATTTGCACCAAATTTCTGTCAAAATGAAAAGTGAATGATCATTTGTACCTTACTGATGTTACCTCTTCATTTTTATCATCATAAATGTATGTCAGATATTCCATACTGATATTCGTACAGAAGAACCCGAATTTTTTTAAGACCATAATAAGAAGCCTGAGTCAAAGAGTTTGACTTACTATAGTCGGTATTGAAATACAGCCTATATCAAGAGTAATTAATAGTACTTATCCAAAGAATTCAAATTTGATACCAGGAAAAGTTTAGATTATAATGAGCATGCAACTGTCAATAATTAGAATGAAATCATTTCACACGAAACTAGCATAAATTGATGGATTAATTAGTAATAATATTCATAGTAGTACATCACTGTTAGTAAAATCCTGAATTATCCCGTTAGTACTATTATTTAGGAATGATACACGGAATAATCCAAAACATTACTAGTAATGGTACGGGCAACTTAAATACGTTGGTGCCTATCGTGATTCAAAAGTTCAGCAGATAACATATTGGGTGTTTAGACTGAAAGCTATGAACTCAATGTGAGTATCAATACAACTAAGACTTAAATCTCTCCCTATATTCTACTGCTAGCCACAAATTGTCTACCCAGAGAAATTATATTGTTCTTAAAAACGATGATTTCAGGTTCATCTGTTTGTAATTGAGCTTGGACTATAAAATTTATTTGCAAATAAGCCTGATATTGTTTTATAAAGTAAAACGGTGTCAGATTATGTCATCAAACACATTAATACTAGGGAAAAACCTAATTAGTACATTAGGGGAGGTTTGAACCCCGAGTTTGAAGTTTTATTCATAAAGCTTCCATTGTCCTTCTTGACAAAGTTATCAGTAAAAACTTCACACAGAAGTGAGCCATTTGAATTTCTTTACATACAACAAATAACGTGTTCTATTGACGTTGATCTTGAATGGTTGTTGTTGATTCATGTCTGATCACTTATTGCATAGTTATTTCATTTGCACTTCCATTTAAAATAATTTTCGACCTTATAGTTGTCAGTGATTTTTCCAGTTGTTTGGTGAAATTGGATCAATGTTCATGCGTTTATTGGTTGCTGATTGACTTGAGTGCCATGTTCCAAAGTAGTCTTTGGTCTTCTAATTATTCCCTCTGTCCAATACTTTTACATTACTTCAATCGAATATGCATCTTAAATTGTTTACATGCATTGATATAACCGCGAATGTATCCCGGCTTTTGAAATGCTACAAATATCTACTATTGCCTTAAAACCATGTAGTACATAGCCTATCAGTTTCAACTGTTATCCATCTTGACAGTTCAGCATTGATATTTTAAAATAGAGTACATCAGTTTGATATTTCGAAATCTTTAAATGAGACCAGTAGATAATCGAATACTAGTGTGTGGCCGTAAATGCAAACACCTTAAGCCCGATTTATGTGCCGAAAAACAATCTTTTGTTACCACCATAATATTGTCTTCATTTTATGACATCTTTTCTCTAACTCTTCTCCATTATTTTGAATCTATTATTTTCAGTATGTGGATTTGCGGAGATCGTAATATTATAACAATTGAATTCACGAGTCGATCTAAGCTAGACCATCAGTGAAAATCTGAAGGTACTGAAAGATCATTTCTTCCCAGTATGGGACTCTACTGCCCCACATTCGGGACTCGAATCCAGGATTTTTTGTCTCGCGCGTGAACGCTTAACCTCTAAACCACTGAGCTAGTATTCAAGGGTGTTAATGTTTAACTTCAATCCATCCAGGACCTTGCGCAATCGTTCATCCATTGTTTGAGGTGGATAACTGTTTCCAGCCTACACGGATTGGACTCCACTGGTCACAGCTTATCAATAGAACTCCAGGAAATCCATCTTGAATGGATGAGTGGTTACGCAGGACCATTTATCATTTTCATCACTTTAATTTTTTTAAAATGACTTATACCAAATTGTGTTATACTTCATTATTATTATTAACCAGTGTTAAGCTATTTCGTTGTGAACTTCTTAACTTAACGAACTTCGATTACTGTATTTTGAGTCTGATTAAGTTTACTGGTATCTTTACTGAATTGTAATGATACTTATTCGAATCTGAATAAATTAAAAATAATAAGTGTAATAGAATAAATTGGATTTACTTATTTGGTGGACTCTTGTCAAACTACCTACAATCTAGAAGTGATTTTAATAATTATTTACAATCAATCTAAATATCTTATAACAATAATAATAATAATAATAATAATAATAATAATCATTATTATAATAATTATTATTATTATTGTTATTATTATTATTAGACAGATAGGCAACTGACGAGAATCCACAAAACAAATGAACAATACATCTTATTATCATAAGCTTTTTGTGTGAGACTATAATTTATGAACGAACCAATCGGTTATAAGATAACAGGTCTTGGATTTTGGCGCAAAATTCATTCATACATTTGATTAATTAATGTTTTGGCATTATAGCTGATGCCATTTCGTGGTGAAAACCCTAAATCTAGTTCCTGACTCGAATCATCAACTGTAAATCATAATTCTAATCCCTTACACTGTTTCATATCATTCATTTAGTCCTAGTTATTAGGTAGATACTCTCAAGGTCACCTTAACACTGCTCATAGGTCGTCCATAAATTATAATCTCACCATAATACGGATTGTATAGAAAAAAAACAGTAGTTGGCTGGAATCTTAATAGAATACAATAAATTGTTTAATTATTCTACTCATATATTTGTCTTTATACACTTTAATATAATAAATGGAATTGTATGTTTATAATTATCTCAACTGTCGTTAACTAACTATTTCATTCTTAGAAATACTTTATATATATATATATATTTACAATGATCAGCATAAACTATTAACATTCCTTTAAGTGTACTACTACTATTCACAATATAAAAATATCAACAGATCCATTAAAGGTCACTTTCATTTGGGTTAATTCAAATACGGCAATCATGTAAAGAGAAAAACAAACAAACAAACAAATGAAATATTACTCTACTGTCAAAAATACCCATGATAATAATAGTAACAATAATAACATTCCTCCTCAACGTTCTTTC